ATCCATCCATCCATCCATCCATCCATCCATCCATCCATCCATCCATCTACCTATCCCTCTCCTGGTAGTTAAGACCAAGGAGTAGGGCATGGGTTTCACTGCAGGCTTGGGAAATAGAATGGAAAGAACACTGAATATGGAGTCACAGCACTGGGCTCAAATCCCAGCTCAGTCACCTGTGGCTCGGGCACCAAACCCAACCTTGTGGAGCCTCAGTTTCCTCATCTGTAAAATAGGTTGCTAGTGTTTGTCCTTGGTGCTTGGGGAGGACCAAAATGTCAGGTCAACGCACAGTGTGTCCAGCTGTGGCCGATCAGACCACCACCAGCTGAGCTGCGCCTGCTCCAGCTTCTTGGAGCCACAGGTGAGAGCTGGGTGGCAGGTGGACACCAAAGGTACACCAGAGATGCTAGGCCCCCTGAACACGCCATACACTGTAAAACGGGTAGACTAAGGGCCCCTCCAGGTCCAAATCTTGATCCCGGTGGGTCTGAACCTCAGCTCCTCCTCCCCCACCCCGAACCTCAGTTTCTCCCTATGTTAAATAATGGACTGGGCTTCCTCTTCCTCTCCCCGTCCCGCCCCCTCCCCATCCCGGCTCCACAGGCTCCGTCTCCACCGAAGGGCAAGCGGGAATGTTTACGCAGCGGAACCTCGGGAGCGGGGCGCCCGGGGCGCGGGGGACGTGTTTGCGTGCGCACTCGCCCTGGCCCAGGTGAGGGTCCCGCGAGGACTTCCCTGCCCTCGTTGGCGCCCGCTTCCTACCGGCCGGAGCGTGACGTCAGCGCCCGCTGCGTGCCCCTCCCCTCGGCGGCCGGACGTCACGTGCTTCTCTTTTTAGCGGCGCGGCAGCAGCAGTGGCAACGGGCGGCGACGGCGGGGGAGGCAGGTGAGGGGGGTCTGCGCAGCCGCGGGCCGGAGCGTCTGGGGACAGGAAGAGAGGAGCGGTGGGGGCAGGCGCCCCGGGGACGCTTCCTGTTCCGCCTGCCGGCCCGTGGGGTTGAGGGGAGGTGGTTTACCATCTTATCCCCGACTGTGCTTTAGCGTCTAGCGTGGCGTCCCAATAGGAAGAGTCAGTGGAGTTGGATTTGAATCCTACCCCTGTTGTGAACTAGGCGTGTGACCTTGAGCAAATCCCTTACTTCTCTGGGCTTCAGTTTCCTCATCTGTAAAATGAGTTAACCCTTCTAGAGGATCCCTGAGATATCTTCTTACCCTGATGTTTTGTTAGATTTTCTCTCTCTCCTGGTGATCTGGGTTCAGTCAACTTTTCATCAGAGGACTTCCACGTCAACCTATCCAGTCCTTACCTCGCTTTGGAACTTAGTGCGCATTTCCTCATCCAGCTGCCCCATAGACAGACAGCTCATTTGTGCAAAAGAGAAATCAGCAAATTTCTTCCCCAAGCCCGCCCCTCCTAGAAATCTCCCTATTTCTATCAAAGGCGCTATCATCCAGGCCCCTAATTTTGCATTCTCAGAGGTTCTTAACCTGGGGTCCTTGGCTGGCTGGATTTTAGAGGGGCTCTAAGAAAAGAAAAGAAAAGAAAAAACACATGAATGAATGAATGAGCAAAGCATTTATTAAGCGCTTACTGTATGCAAAACTCTATGTTAATCCCAGGGGTAAGACAGCCCTGCTCTCTAGAAGCTCATAATCTGATAGGAAAACCCATGAAAGGTTTCAGCTGCAAGTCAGATGGAGAGGTCCCGTTGTCCTTAGGGTTCAGCAGGGAGGCAGATGTTAAACGCTCTTCTCTGCTGTTCCGCTGACTGTTGAATTCCTGGACAGCGCCAGGAGTTTTCCTTTTCTCACTCTTCACTACCTGCAGCTGTATCACTAGCAGCAGCAGTTTCCAGGATGCTTTATCTTGTCTAAGCTTTGGTTTCTTTCATAATTCCATGTGTTTTATTTTATGCATTAAAAACATTGTTCTGACGAGACCACAGGCCTCACTGGACAGTCATAGATTCGTGAGAAGAAAGGTGAAGAGCCCCTGGTAGAGCCTGTGCTTCATTACTCACGTCATCCAGTCAATGGCCCAGTCTTTTCCATTGGAGAAAAAACAGGGACCTCGGCTCATACTCAACCTCTCTCTGAGGCCTTGGGCAAGGTACTTAAGTTGTCCCTCAGTTTCCTCATCTGTAAAATGAAGGGGTTGGACCAGATACTCTCATTACCTTGCTTCTTTTCTCTTTATCCAGGAGTTCATGACCCTAATTCAGTCCCACATCATTTCTCTCTTTTACTTCAAAATCTCGTCATTGAACTCCTGGCTTCTAGTGCTTTCACCTTTCCAATCCACTCTTGAAATTATGAAAATAACTTTTCTGGGGCAGCTAGGTGGCTCAGTGGAGAGAGCACTGGCCCTAGAGTCAGGAGGACCTGAGTTCAAATTCGGCCTCAGACACTTGACACTTACTATCTGTGTGACCCTGGACAAGTCACTTAACCCCATTGCCTAGCAAAAACAAAACAAAACCAAAACCAAAAAAAAAAAAAAAGTCTTTTTAAGGTATGATTCTGACCATGGCATCCCCCAGCTTAAGGACATTTTGTGGTTCCCTTCTTCTTCTAGGATAAATACAAATCTTATGCCATTTCAAGCTCTTCGTAATCAATTTCCTGGCTACTTTTCAAGTCGTATTTCACTTTATTCTACTTCACACAAACTGCCTCCTAACTAAACTGGCTTACTTTCTCACTTTTGACAGGTTTTCTGCCATGTTTGGAATGAACTCCTTCCTACTTTCAGCCTCTTAGAATCCCTCATTTCCCTCATGACTCATCTCATGGTGCCCTGAGCTACAAGAAGGAAACCTTTTCTGATCCCCAAAAACTCTTAGTTCTCTCTCTCAAACAACCATGTATGCACCTATGTGTTTACGTGTTGGTATGTAAACACCCTTCCCCTGCCCCTCACCGCTGGTCCTTGAGACAGGAACTTTTTAATTTTGTCTTTATAACTTCAGTGCCTGGTGTAGGATACTTACACATAGAAGGTATTTAATAAATGTTTGTTGTATTGACTTGCAGCTTTTGATATCATTGAGTCCAATCTTTTCATTTTATAGAAAAGGAAACTGAGGTCCAGTGATTTGCAAAAGGGCCTTCAGGTGGTGAGTGGCAAAACCAGGACTGGATTCTGAGTCAGCTGATTCTTTTCTGTCTAGTGTTCTTTCCATTGCCCCATGCTGCCCTCACATTTGAGCTGGCTTATTCTTTTGTTTTTTAAATTAATTTATTTTGAATTATCAACAATCACTTCCGTAAGCTTTTGTTTAAAATTTTTTCCCCCTTCCTCCCTACCACCCTCCCCAAGATGGCGCATAATCTGATATAGACTTTACATATACATTCCTATTAAACATATTTTCACATTAGTGATATTGTAAGTAAGAATTAGAACCAATAGAAGGAACCACCAGAAAGAGGAAACAAAACACAGCAGAAGAAAAAAAATAGCAAATAGTATGCTTCAATCTTTTGTCTTATTCTTAAAGAGCACCTTAATTTCCCTCAAAAGTCTATCCCATGATTCTCTCATTTTTATCTCATCAGAAAGTTCTTCCTGATGTCTAAGTTGAATATTTCTTCTCATAATTTAGGGCTATTTCTTCCAAGTTATACCCTCTCGTGAGACAGAACTGCTGGTGAACACCTTCCTTAATTAAGCCTTCACTTGGAAATTTAAAGATGGAACAGATCAGATCCAAGCTATTAATTTCTAGTGCTCTTGTGGGTCATCTCCAAGCAGTCAGAAGCCAAATCATATCTAAGGTTTGACTCATTTGCAGGGTAGAGAAACAGACTCAGCTCTGATAAGTAACATAATCAGTCACTAGCTAGGTGTCTCAAAGTGGGTAGAGCACTCAGCCTAAGTAAAAAAGACTTGAGTTCCGATCCAGCCTCAGACACTTAACTAGCTGTGTGATTCTAGGCAAGTCACTTGATCTCAATCTGCCTCAGTTTCCTTTACTATAAATTGGGGATGAAAACAGCACCTAACTCACAGAGTTGTGAGAATCAAATGAGATGATATTTGTAATGTGCTTAGCACATAGAAGGTACTATATAAATATTAGCTATTAGTAGTAGTAGTAGTATTATTGTTCCTACTACTACTAGGAACAGAGCCAATACCTAATCCCTGGTCTTCTGCCTACAAATACACTGGTGTTTATGCTGCACCATTGTGTGAATGGTGTTCATCCACTAGCCTTCTTTTCTCTTTTTCTAGGATAGGTAACCCATAACTCCCATAGGGTAGTGGAAAGAGCATTAGTTCTGAAGTCAGAGGGCCTGGGTTTGCATCCTCCTACCTCTGGAATTTCTTACCTGCCCAACCTCAACCTCCTGGTCCTTACTCAGTCTCTTCACCTAAGAAATGAAGGGCTTGGATTAGATGGCCTCTCAACTCTCTTCCATGCCTAGATCTGTAATCCTATGCACTCAGGGCCCATAATTTCAGGATGCTTTTCTGGAAGCTCTCCTTCACTCAAAGTTTAATTTATATTTCAGGAACTTTAGAAATATGTTTTATAGTGTGGGCTATATTTCATGGCTTCTCTCAAGAGCAGAGTGGAAGAGATTGAAAGAACGTAGATTCTGAGCTAAAAGGGAACATAGAGGCCACTTAATTCAACCTTCTCATTTTACAAGTCAGGAAACTGAGGATCAAAAAAGTCATTCCTCTGCCCCCCACCCTCATGGTCAAATAGGAAGTAAGTGGCCATGACAAGATTAGTGAATTGGTGCATTAAGTTGGTGGGCCTGAATTAAGCCAAACACAAAGCTTAAACTATTAGGTCAATAGAAGCAGCAGTATTTTTACTTCCTAAATGATGAGCTGTTTAGCAATGACTGGGTTTCAAATGTGTTTTTCCTCTTGTTTTTCTTGATTTGAATGTAGTGGCCATAAGTGCTGTGTCAATGTCTGTTACTTAAAAGTAAAGTTTTAAGAACAACCCCTTCCCCTCTACCAGCAGATATCAGGCTGATAATCTCTGACTGCTGTACAAACAGCACAAATGAATCTCATTCTTGCATCTAAACAAGATGTAACTGAGGAGAAACATTCTTTAGGTTTATTTTAAGTATGTATTTGGTTGAGAGTTGGGTGTGGTATCAAACAAATTAGGTGTCTTTCCATTCATTTAGAAACCATCCTTTTTTGTTTGGAGGGTGGTATTAATGAATAGCACGTACTTGCCTAACTTCATTGGCATATTCGTGATCTCTAATTGAGTTGACTTCTGTTGAGTCTTCCAGAGATGGTAGTGGGCACCTTGAACATAGGATATCAAAAATAAGACATCGAGAGGGACTTTGAAGGCTTAGTCAAGTGCCACCTCCTTCATCAAGCCTTCCCTGATTTCCCCAGGTGCTGGTGCCCTGCCCCGCTCCAATGTACTCTGCTCATCTGAGTAAAATTTTTATCCCCTGAGTAGAACATAAGCTCCCTGAGGGCAGGGACTGTTTTGTTGTTGTCTTTGTGTTTCCAGTGTCTAGCACATGTGACTTGCACCTGGTAGTTAGTAAGGGCTTAATACATGTTTGTTGAATTAGTTGTCCTTGAGGAAATTAAAAAAAAAAGGTTTAAGCTAAGATGGATAGAATTTAACGTAAGAAGGAGGTGTGTGTTGTTGTTTTTTTTTTAACTTTCGTAAGACTTTTACTCAAGTAGGTTATGGAGTTTCTATACCTAGAAATACTCAGGAAGATGATAGACAGTCAGCTGACCTTATTGGTTTAGCTATTAACTGAGAAGCATCATAACATAGCAGATAGAGTAGCGGACTTTGAGTCAGGAAGAGCTGTGATTGAATCGGTCCTCACAAATGTCTTAGTTGTATGGCCTATCTAAACCTCAGTTTCTTTCCCTTTAAA